ACAAAATGGTGAGTAGTGTGCACCCCCTGGTGGTCCAGATCCCCTTCTACAGTGAGGTTTGTGTCTGGGCTCACACTGAAGTCCCCTCACTGTGTCACTGGCACAGTAATACACGGCCGTGTCCTCGGCTCTCAGGCTGTTCATCTGCAGATACAGTGTGTTCTTGCCGTTGTCTTTGGAGATGGTGAATCGGCCCTTCACAGAGTCTGTGTAATATGTGCTACCACCACTGCTAATAGCTGCGACCCACTGTAGCCCCTTCCCTGGAGCCTGGCGGACCCAGTGCATGTAGTAGCTGCTGAAGGTGAATCCAGAGGCTGCACAAGAGAGTCTCAGGGGCCCTCCAGGCTTCACCAGGTCTCCCCCAGACTCCACCAGCTGCACCTCAGACTGGACACCTGCAGACACAAAACATACTGGTCAGGAAACTGTCACACAACCACTTTCGCTCAGTCACATACTCTCATACACTCAATATGTCTTGTTCACCATAAATTACCTTTTAAAAGAGTAACAAGGAAAACCCAGCCAAGTGCAAACTCCATGGTGAGTTGTCTGTGTTCTCTCCTGATCACTGAATGGGAACACCTGGGGAACCCGGGGCTGGGTCTCCTCTCCCAGCTGCAAGGGTTGGGGCTCAGCTGGTTTAATCAGCAGAGGGAGGGCCCTATTTGCATGTCCTCTGAATATATATTCAACTTGGGATCTATGCTGACAGAGAGGGCCCTGTCCAGAGCAGGTGTGACCGCCGTTGATGTGGTGCTATTGATCACTTTTGAAAAAATATCATTTACTCTTTGATAACTTTCCAGTGTATATTCTTGACCTCCATGTACTACTTTGGTTTTACATGTAAACATAAGTCTTGGGGTTTAGGTGTCATGTTCCCCCTTAAGTGATTTGAACCTACACCTAGAATTGTGGTCGGTTTGTGAGGTGTCCAAGAGCATTTATGGGGTGAGAGTGAGCCCCAGGATATAAGGCAGTGCTCCTTCCACAGTACTGTGCTGCATCCCTGACACCCTCCTTGGGACAGAGTGGGCAGGCTCATGAGGAAGGTGGAACCCCTCCTGTAATGGGGACAGAATCATTTTGCTTGTTCTAGAGTTTACCTGAAATACAGAGAGAATCAGGATTGTGAAGGTGTAATTTCCAGTCTCTCAAACTTTACTCTCTCTGTGTTCTTCCAGAATCATCTCTGTGATGACCTGTAATAGTTCTGATGTGTGCACTTGGCACAGGATGAACTACACACACGCAGAGTGTGGGATATGATAAACACTGGTGTCACAATCAACATTATCGAGAGTGAGCACATCAGTTCTCCCTAAAATGTCCTGTACTTATCATGGAATTCCTCCTCCCTCTTCCCTTCTTCACCCTGTCCCCACAAAATTATTGATCTTTCTCATTTCACTTTAGACTACCTTTAATTTTGTAGAATTCATAAATAGATAATGGTATCATATGTACTATTTAGTAGGGCTTCCTTGGCTCAGCAGGAATCC